ATATATACATAACTAAACAACCAACATACATACATACATACATACATAGATACATACATACATACATACATACATACATACATACATACATACATATATATATATATATATATGTGTGTGTGTGTGTATTTTTGGCTCCCGGTTGGCACGGTCAGCGAGTGTGTGTGTGCGTGTGTGTATACACATATATATATATATATATGTGTATATCTATCCCATTTTCTTGTGTGTTTAGTTATGTACCTGTTTCTGAGACATATGTATATATATATACATATATAACTAAGCAATCAACATATATATATATATATGTGTGTGTGTGTGTATAAGTATATATATATATATAGTATACACACACACACTTGCAGGTTCTTTGCATCCTGAGTTTGGGGTTTTCATTGGATCAGAAGTCATAGTCAGATCAACTGTATCGGGCCCAGGCACAAAACTGGGCGAAGTCACATTGGCCCAGATTGTAATGTGACTATAAGATAGCTAGAACCTGGTTCGAATGTTTAGTACCAGATTCTTGAAAGCATAAATCGATGATAGTTGTGCGAAAACTGATGAAGTATAGAAAACTTGTACAAGTGACCAAACAGGCACGCCTTCTTCAACCATGCCAGATGTCATGCTAAAACCCCCCAAGCCACAGTCTCAAAACACTTGCCACAGAGCTGCTGCCCATCCACGGCCCATCCGTGTGCATCATCCCCTACGCCGTAGAGATGTTGGCCCTTGGTGCGAGGGGCGAGCTCGAAGCGGCTGGAGAGCAAGCCCACCTGTGTCGAGGAAGATTTCCGCTTTGCCTCCCTGGGTTTGGGGATGGTTTGGGACTTGTTGTCAAGTGGGTGCTGAACACTTGAGAACCAGCCCACCTGTGGAGACTGGCACCCGCGGATGAGCTCAATCTCGAAGTAGTAGCGGCCTTTCTTTTGAGGGAGGTCGGGGAAGCCCATGGTGACCCATTCGTTCGTGGTGTCCGCCGTCAGGCCACGCAGCAGCTGAGGCTGAATCCGAGGAACATCGTCCAGGGACGTATTTGCCATAGCCACCTCTATGAGCCGATGGAGTTCATTGTCGTTGTACTCTTTCAACACATGGGCATACTTGTCCAAGACTGCCAGCCTTGATCCTGCGATACCCCCGGAGTCTGTTGCCGCAAAGGTGGCACGGAGCCGCACATCCTTCAAAACCAGGTAGGAGTCACCGTACTGGTAGGCTGAGGTGATGCCTCTGTAGTCGTTCATCACCCCGAGCGCTCCGTACTTGCATCGCTCGAAAGGCTTAGCTTCATCGTAGGCGCCACCGAAAAGCTCCGTCTCCCAGCCTATGCGGATCTGGTTCTTGTCATCTAAAGCACCACAAGAAGTTCCTGTCTCAAACTGGCTCCGGTAGTACTCGTCGGTCTCCAAGAACCTGGGCCCCGTCAGGAAGGCCAAAAACAAAAGATGACTTGTCCATGACCTGTTGAACCCGAAACCCCAGCCCCAAAGCCTCAAGCCCGAACGCAATTCTAGGCCAAAGCACCTTCCGACGGTTCCGATGTGGATGTGGACGCACATGGGAGCCAAGTCCTGGATCCAGCCCAGCACGCCCTGCAGCTCTGCCTCGCCGTAGCCAAGCCTGCATGTGCGGACACAGGTACACGTGTACCCATGCACGCGCGCATGTGCATATCTGTTGCCCTCTCTCTACGTTGTAGTATGTATGTAGGTATGTAGGTATGTATGTATGTATGTATGTATGTATGTATGTATGTATGTATATATGCATGCATGTGTATATGTAAGTATTTTTCTTTATCTATTCAGGTATACTTTGTGTTTACTGTATCTATTATGTATCTATTTTCTGTAATTATTTATGTGTTTACACTTGCACAGAAAGGGAACTTAACAACGTGGAGTCAACCCTGCTACACCCTGCAAAACCCAAGCATCAGTTGCATTACACCCCCGCCTTGTAAAGCGTTCCCGGACTTCGGGGAGGGCCTTGTCCTGACCAGGGCCAATCTGCAAAGATCTCTGATGAACTCTACCGTCGAAGCCCGTCTTTTCAGTCACCCCAGCAAAGTTGAAGCCTAAATAAACCCCCGAGGGATACATCTGGGAGTTTCCGAAAATAGGGGACCCTAATATAGTACCCTATTTAGTAGGATCCTTAATATAAGGACCCCAAAATAAGGTACCCCTTATTTCCGGAAACTCGCACATCTGCTGACGCTCAGTCGGGTTGCGTGATTCAGCGCTGCATTGGCTCGAACGTTGGCCAGGGCCGCGCGCCTCGGCTGCCGTTGCCAGTTGTGGGTACCAGGTGAAGGCTGACAAGACTGGGATGGCACAATTGCAGTATTCATTGTGTTATATTGTTAGTGCTATGATTACTATTGTTATTATCAAAATTTTTAATATTACTATTATTATTATCGCCATGTTTGTGGATTTTGGGCCTGGGGGTGCTGCCCGGGGGCTGGCAAGATGTCAGGCGCTGTACTGCTCGCATCTCCGACTCCGGGAAGATCGATGCCCAGAAGCCCTGTTGCTCCTGCAAGGGTTTACGGTTGAGAGTTTAGGGGTTTAGGGTTTAGGGTTTAGGGTTTAGGGGTTTAGGGTTTAGGGTTTAGGGGTTTAGGGTTACGGGTTTACGGGTTTACGGGTTTACGGGTTTACGGGTTTAGGGTTTAGGGAACAGCCGATAACACATCGCAATGGAGGCAACTGCAGAACTCCCAAACCGGTCAGAATCAAGGAACTAATGAAGCTGTGCCGATTCTGCCTCATACCCCTTGTACATTGCGTGATTCCGAGTTTAGGTCTGGAAAAACTGTCGTCATCTAAGCTGACAGCTAGCGGCTAGCGATTTTATTCATCACGAAATCACAAAGCCATGTTTGCTCCGCCGGCGCACCTCAAGAATTCCTACCTCGCGCAACGCTGCCACCACGTCACCTTTAGGACGCAGCATGAGCCAGCTAGCGCATGCTCATTTCAGGGATTGGCTTAGCATTCGAAAGACAATGCAAAGCAGATGACCAAGTCCGAGTATCTGTTTGATGGGTTGAGGCACCGCACTGGCTCTCATGGGAATAAGCTTTCAGCCTCTGCAACCTTGCTGTCACCTTCCTTCAGAAGCATATCCGATGCAAACTGTTCTTGCGGCTGGCTTCCAGACTGCAGATCAGCTCACGCCAAGAAACTGTCACGTGTATCACTGAAGATCCAATTCGGCGGAACCACCTCCACAGCAGGCAATATTGCTGTGGAAACACCAGCTGCAAGAGTCAGCTAGTATCGCAAGTGTCTCAAGTAGGTGTGTGATCTTCGCTTCTGCCGTTCAGTCGCTCTCCCAATCTGGCCATCACCCTAGGCAAAGAACATCCAAGGCCGCCCAAGGATGACTTGGGAGTTTCCGAAAATTACGGTACCTGATTTTGGGGTCCTTATAATAAGGATCCTACTATTTAGGGTATTATATTAGGGTCCCCTATTTTCGGAGACCCCCACTTGGACGTGGCACAAACTATTCGGCTGACGTTGTCCCACCCCAGGAGTCTGCAAGGAAACAGCAGGCTTGCGAAGTCCGTCAGCCTACTCTCCAGAATCGAAAAGCATACAGCACCCGGTGCTGTGATGAACGGGGTGCGGCCGAGGCAAAGTAGCGGCTATGAATACAACTGCCGCCCTTTTTTTTCATTGCAATTACTGCGCCTCAGTTATTACTACAATCTTGTCCAACTACCTGTTATGCTTCTGGTGTCACTACTGCCTTTGCTGCTTCTACCACGACTGTTCCGCGATGCCTCTACTAACCGCGATTGTGTTTGCTGCCACTCTACGATGTCAAACTCCGCTTTCGTGTTGCGTTGATCGATTCCAATCAAAAAACCTGGTGGAAAAAGACTGGCAGAACCAAATCCTGAGGGTGGGCGATGACCAGACATACGGTGAGGTTCCGCCACTTCCTGCTCGTGTGTGTGAGCTCATGCAGAGCTTCGACGATCAAGGCAAGCAGGATAGCTATGATAATGACAACAATGGCAATAGCAATGTTTACAATATCACTTAACAATATCAATTAACAATATCAAGTATTATAACAGAAAAAATTGTCGTTGTGCAGGCCATCAGACCCCGTGAAAGGCCTGACGCTCTTGACGAGCATCTCGCCCTTCTCCGAAGCCGAAGACCAGCCTCATCAAGGGCTGGGTAGAAAACTTAGGAGCACAGAGCGGACTTGACATTGCACGGTCCTGATCTCCAGCAAATTAGAAAGTGCCCCTGCTATTGCCATAACGCAATTGCAACCAGGCCGCCTCACCTCGGATGACAGAGTAAACAAGGCTCGAGTTGCAGATGGGGGTGCCTACTGCTCGGCGGCAGGTGTCGCATGCTCACGATTAGGAACATCTCCCGAGGTCTGCATGGAAAATGGCTGCAGGTTCTGAAAACCCGACCCGGAAGAATGCTCGGCTTCGGGCACCGTTGCTGGGCATGACGTTGAGCTCGAGAACCTGGGCCTCCCTCAAGTTCGCCGACTTCTGTCCGTCCTGTGAGGCTTCGGGTAGGGAAAGCCCCAAGAACTTTCTACGTAAAGCTGAAGCTTCCCTCTACTTCCGGTCCTCCGTGTGGTGGTATGCCTGCCGCGAGGTCTCTTCTTAGTGTCACACACAATTACACCTGTCCGTTCGTATGCCTTTCTGCAACTGGGCTCTACCTAAAGATCGGCAAGTCGTTTTAGCACCTATGCGATGTCGATGTCTACGAGGCGTTACTCAACTTCGCTTTGCACAAACCCATGCACCACATGACAACACTGCTGACTTGACTGGTTTCGCCCCGCCTGGACACGGGCACCGACCTGGCAACAGCGTGGCAAATCATTGCACAGTGGTGGCTCAGTGGTGGAACGAGGGGCCTCAATGATGGCAGGAGCTTCCACACCCCATTGTTTCCGAGCCACCTGGGTCCCAGCACCACTGGAACATTCAAGACTTCAGCAACTTCTTAAGTCTGGACATGGCCTGTTCTCCTTTAGCATCCGCCAAGCAGCACGCTGGCGACGCTGTTGGAAAAGCTGTTGCAGGCCACCCATGTGCCCCACGAATCGTTGGAACTCGTCCAGCGTCACTTTGCTGTCGTTGTCCAAATCCTGTGCGGAATCTTTTGGGGGGAGAGGCGAACCGAGTCGCATACGAGTCTCTGCCTACATAAAGCAGCACACGCATCGCGAGAAGAAATGACAGCTTAGATGGCAACAACAGATAACAAAAGTACAAGAAGTTGTCCTATTTTAATCAGATTCTTCAACTGCTGCATCCACAGCCATCACTTGCCTTGCGGTCCCATATGTTTGTCTCATTTGTAGCTGCCGAAACAAGTCTTTGATGCCTGTGTCCGGCCCCCAACTAAGTAATGAGGACGTGGCCCGTTCCTATGAACTGCTCATCTTTGTGGGTACGTATTCTCACGACTTCGCAAGCCAACGCCGAGGATCCATGACACTGGCTTCTTCCTCACCCCATCCAATGTACGCGCACATGAACTTGAACCTGGGGCAAGCTTCGACTATTAGAGTTAGAGGTGGGCAGTAGAACAAACCGGCTGGTCACGAGCCGCTGACAGTCAGCAGCAGCATTATCATCGTCATCGATACCAGCATTATTGCCAACATCCTAGCCGCACCTTCATGCATGAACGACGTGTCCAATGTCGCCGCAAAACAAACCACCATAATCGGCGTCGTTATCATCATCATCGTCATCATCACCATCATGACCGCCATTATCATCATCATCATCACCGAATCATCATCATCATCATCATCATCATTGTCGTCACCAATATCATCATCACCATGATCATCATTGTCATCACCAAGATCATCAGCGCCATCATCATCATCATCATCATCATTAGCATCATCAACACCTCATCACCGAGAGCCACGACGGCAGGAACTTCAACAACATGATCGGCAATATCGCCACATCATCATTGCCATCACACTCCCGAGCAGCATCCTCGTCCTCAGCTTCATCCTCACCCACCCCAGCATCAGCAACAGCATGGCGTTGGTGAGTGCAACGACTGAGGCTGCAGTTTCCAGAATACGGAACCCAAACCGCACATATTTCCCTGCTCGCTCTCGCTCTTGCGAGCTGACCATAAAACTCCATTAAATCCGTACAGCCTTGAACCGAAAAACAATCGAGGCGAAGCTCCAGAAAAGGTCGCCAGGAGGCGACATCTACCGACAAGGCTATGTGATTGTCGGGCCGGGTTTTGGGTTTGCAGTTCGCTACCTGCCGTGGAAAGCCCAGGAACTCTTGGGTGTCCAAGTGCCCAGATCCGTCGTGGTCAAAGCGGCGAAATGAATCGCGGATCTGGCGTTGGCGTCAGGCTGCACAGACAGCGTCTTTGTCAACACTCAAGCCATCTCTATACTGAAGGAAGATGAAAGAAGTACCTTTTTAAAGATACAAGTATGTGCTGGATGCAGCTGGAGGTCTGAACGACATCAGTTTCTTAGGGTTCATGCTTTGCTTTGCGGATTTTGCTTGAGCTGAGCCTAGGCCTAAGGCAATCCTAAAGCAACTCCCTGGATTGGGGGCCTGCGCAAGCTCGTATTCCAAGCTGCTGTTGATCCGGTCCAAGCAACCTTGTGCTTCGTCAGTCTTCTTCGCGAGCCTGAGGATGCAACATCACATACATTTATACGGATATGAATACGCACTTCCCACGATTGCACACGCCAGACAGCCGAGGACAACTTGAGGAGGTATTCTGGCCTAGAAGAGCGAGAAAACAGGGAGGCCCGCCGACCAGCAAGAAAGGGCGACGCCGCTGGCAAAGGTTGGCGTGTCTGAGAAACTACAACTTTTCGGATTCGGCACTCGCACTCGGGCAGAACAGGTCGTTCGAAGGGCTGTATGGGAGTTTCCTGCAACTGCTCATAAGCCGGGAGGCGCGAACTCCCTGCAACGCCTCACCCAGTAGAGGAGAGGATGAGGAGCAAATTCCTCAGGCAGCCGGAACCAAACAAGCCGAGTTCAACGCTTCCCGTTTAACTGGCAAAGCGTACTTACTGCTAGCGGCTGAAAAAACACCGGCCGGGCCAGACGAGTAGCTGCCAACTAGGACTATCGCGTCACGGCCTTACGTTGCCAAGGAGCCGTTCCTGTCGGTTTTAAGAAAGGGTGCTCCTGCAACAGATGAGACCATAAATGGTGCCAACTGCCACATCTGTTGCTAGGACGCATCGATGCACATTTACCATTGCCACGAGCTCTGGTCCTCTGCCAGCCGCGTAAGGGACGCGACGACGCCTGGTGCTGTCACGGGCTTTGGTGGCAGAGCTGTGTGAAGAATCCACACTGTGCCATCGGCTCTGCCCTGCCTGCTAAGCTGGCATCCTCAGCAATGCTTCCCATGGCGTTGATGAAGTCCTCATTGCTAAGGCCCACGGACCTGCGACAGAGACCATGTTCCACAGGATTGAAAAAAGCCGTCAGTCCGGCTGGGTCTATGCCACGGATCGAGGAGCCCATCTTACTAGACTCAGGCAGCGGCTGGCCATGTGGCCCTTCTCCACAGCAAGTCTGACCCATGGCAGCAGCTGTCGAAGCACTGGAAAATACTGCTCGTCTGTGGGAAGAACTGCATAATTTCGTGGCCAAGACATATTTCTGCGCTACCAGTTAGCACAGGCCATGAAGACTTGGTGTCCACCAGTTGCACAGCTTGGCAGAAAATGGCGAGATGCAAACGCTCTGAATGGCAGAAACGGTTTACTTTTCGAGACTTGTGAACGTGATCAGCCCCGGCGGCTTGCCACGCATGGCCACTCTATGCAACACTTCCTGAAACTCAAAACGTCAAGCATCATGGCCGTCAAGCATCACGGCCAAATGGTGCAGGAACAACTGAATAAATCCAGACTGAAGACTCGTCGTCGGACCCTACCTAGCACGCCCTTTCCCGTTTTCATGCACAGACACTCAGGGAATGCGTCCAAGCACTGACAGTAGTGTCAGTCGCAAGGCAGGGAAGGCAGCCAATCTCCGAAAAAAACTTCTACCGCGGCTACTGCTGCTACTACTACTACTACTACTGCTGCTACTGCTACTGCTACTGCTACTGCTACGGCTACGGCTGCTACTACTACTACTACTACCACTACTACTACTACTACTGCTACTACTACTACTACTACTACTACTGCTACTACTACTACTACTACTTCTTCCTGCTACTACTACTACTACTACTACTACTACTACTC